AACCTCTTTGAGTGCCTCAAAATTTTTCGAACATTCAAAAAATTAATCATATTTTTTTTCTGTTTAGCGGCGGCAGTCATTTTTATTTATTTTTTTGTAATCATGTAATATTAATGATACTCCGCTTTATGCATGTTGCCACCAAAAATAATGCTTATCAGCTTTCCTGCTTCGTTAGCCATATTTTATTCAGGTGGGTAATTTGTTTGTGGCCACAATTATATATTCACTCGTTCCCCGATCAAAAGCCGAAGGCACTCGCTACTACATACATACATACATTAAAGTTTACTTTATTCCCTTTTTGGCCAGTGTTTTCCATTTTTTTGATGTTGTTTTTTATCTTCTCTTTTCCTGGTTTCAAGCATCGTTTGTTGTCCATGTTTGCTGGCTGCTTCCAATCACCATACCATGCATGCTGTGCATATGATTTGTGGCATTCGAATTTAATAAAGAAAGTAAGCGCATATGTACCGGGTGGTGCGTACGTGAGTTGACGTGTGCACAAGCACATGACGAGGCCGGCTACCAGTTTTACGTGAAATTAAGCGGCGAATGCAGGGGCACAATGCACTATGGTCTGGCAGCTACTGTTTGCTGGCCAAAAGTCATTTTTAAAAGTATCGATAAATCGATTTTCTTAAAGAGTTTTCCCGTTGAGATATCAGCTGTTAAGGATGGCATTTTTGCTAAAGGTTTACATATTTTTTTCTTTCGTAGTCAGTATTCTTGTAGCTCTAAATGGTATTAGTCTTTGAATTAGAAAGATATTTTAAAAAAGAGAATGGAAATGAATACGAAGGTAATATTTGTGTGATTAATAAAAAAGAAAACTAACATATAGTTTGCTAAATAAAATAAAACTGATTTTCAAAATGGGCTCTAATTTGGGTAATAATATTCCACTTTAAATAGAGCTATAAAAAAATTGGTTTCATTTGGCGGTCATCAAGCTTTGTGGGCAAAAAAATGTTCAATTTACAGTTTGTGGGCTGCGAATCATGTTGCATTTTTTTGCATTTTTTGAATAATGGGGTTTTTTCTTAGAAATCTCCCACACGCCATATTGGATCCGCCATTTTTAATTTCAAAAATCTGTCCTCAGATTTTAAGTCATCGAATATTTATATACGTTTTTGGTGAAAAAGAAGAAATTATAGAATTTGGTGGCCATATTGAATGCGCCATTTTGAATTTAAAATATCTGCTATCAGACTCGAAATCAGGAAAAGGAATAAATTATAAAATTGGGCGCCATATGGGATCCGCCATTTTAAATTCCAAAAATCTTATATCAGATTCGATATTGGATCTACTATTTTTAATTTCGAAAATCTGACATTATATTCGAAATTAGCGACTTTAAAAACCCCCAAACACTAAGTTTCAAATCAATTTGGTTACTTCTCGACTTTTGACCAGCAAATGATAATCGCTAGACCATAGTGCAGTGGAGCAATAATGGTGAGGCGTGGAATTTGATTTAGTTTACGACCTATCAAATAATGGCATCGAACTCTAAACGATCTTTCCAAAAAGATGCAGGCATTTACAATTTTATAGAAGGTTGCCACCCATTATGAAATTACTTGATTAACGTAAAAATTGGTAAATAGAGTAAAATTGTATTGAGCGCATATCAAATGCAGATCATTTACCAAGATTGAGTTGTCAACATAGTTTTAAGAAGATTGCCAGCTGCATGATAACAGAAATAACAGAAAATCTATAATATTAGCAGCAAAAGAAAAGCTTGGATTCAGACCAAATTGTGAAGGAGATTGCCACCTGTTTCAGTAATTAAAACATATTCAATAAAACAAGTTTGTAACATACATGACATAACTATAAGTGACCATCAGGTCAAGGTGCAGGGATGGTATTTTCAGAGATAGTAGTCGATAGTTTTAGTAGCTTTAATTAAAGCTTAAGTGGAAGGTTCTATAACCTTTTGTTTCTTTTCTAGAGCTTCTTATATACTGCAAAAACAATACGCTTTTTTGACACTTTGACCTCATTCTTCTCAAAATCTGGAGGCGATGGAAACTTTTACTCTACTTTTACTTTTACTTACGGATTCTTAATCAGCATCAAAAAATCTAGCGAACCCAGCTTTACCATTTTCCGCATCAAAATTTTTCCCCATTTTTGCTGGTCTGTGTATTTTTAACATCCAATTTCTATTCATACTCCCAAAATTATAACTTCAGAAACCATCTCGGTAAATACATATGTCCTTATAGATTTCAATCACAAGCGTTCAGATTTGGCATGCTATTTTCATGAGCTTTTAAGGCATCAAAGTAGCGATTACGGGACAAATACGGGACCTTAAAAGAAATACAGAGCATTTGGCGTTCTGTATATAATAGATAAAGTACCTGGGCAATAATACAGGACGTATGGTCACCGTAAATATAGTTGTGACATGTCAAAAAATCGCAGTTAGTTTAGTCTTTTAAAAAGCAGAAAAATCTTATGAATTATATGCCCCTATGATGTTATTAAAAAAAATCGAACAGATTTGCCATATCTTAAAAAGTTTCAAGTTACTTTAATCTATCAAAAATTAACAATACAAAGTTGGAAATCAAGCGAAGGGCGTTGAAACAAATTTTATTTAATGCTTATTTCGGCGCGTTACCTTAAATATTTTTAACTTTTGTTTTGAAAAACAAGCTTCAACAATATTAAAGAGCTTTGGCGTTTTCCCTAAGAATTTATAAGATCATGCGCCGTTTTTTTTAAATAACTTTTAAAATTAATCTGCCCCTGCAGGGATCGAAAATAACCGTTGAATATTAAGATCTTTGTTTTCTTATTTACTTTTTTGTATGGTCAATGAATTTAGGATTAAAATTTTGTATTTGTAATTTAAAAGATTCATAGAAATGTAGAATTTTTCCCATTTATTGCTCCTTGTAAAATTTTTTTTGAATTATATGGGAAATCTAAAAACAGGTAACCTTTGAGCTATTTAACTTTATTTTCATTGTTGTAAACTATATGAAGCTGGTTGCTTATGGATATAATTCTTAGATATATACTTGAAGCCTCAAAAAATTTTTTTATCAATTTGGTGCATAAAGGCGGACTTCATAGCATACGTATCCGTATGCGTGCGTTTGACATTTACGCTTAGAAATTAAAATTCATATACATTTTCATGCGTTGCTTTGTAGGTGCTGGTATTAAAATTTGTACATTAAATTTTTCTTTCAAACGCACGCATACGTATCCGCCTTAACTTTTGAGTTATAGATGTTTTCATTCAAAAAATTATTAAAAACAAGTGAGTTTTTTATGTAATTTTTAAGAGGCGAAAAATTTATTACGGCATAACTTTTGAAGCACACCATATACTGGTTTGAAATTTTATGGGCAATTAGTACTTATGTGGATACTTCATATGTAGTAGGTACTTAAAGTGTGCTTTAAACAATAACTAAATGGCAAGCAACTAAAAGTTTGTAACTCTACTTCTCACAATTTTCAAAATTTTCAGTTTATCGCGTATAGTTTTTGGAGCATTTCGTTTTAAAAACTTTTTAAGTATACATTGTATTCTACAAACAATTATGAATAATTTGATACCTTAGCAAGAGGTGTGCTTTCAGAATAAACCAACTTTTAAAGATAAAATGTTCTGCGTTCTTGGGCGTAATTTTATTATTTATGAATCTTTACCAAGCTTCATATATTTTGGCAACTCCTCTCGGTAAGTTCAGTACATCTAGGATTGTTTTTAGTTATTTTAATTTTCACAAATTTTCAAATCATTTTCATGGACTCACGTTGAATAGGTCCTAGCTTGGTCTTCTTATTACTCACATTTTACTACTACTGTTGTTGTGATTGTAATAGCATAACAATTCCCTCAAGGGTTTTTGGGGAATCAGTTGGAGTGACAACTATGGCCAAGTGGCCATATATAGATCTGGGTCGTTTCGGTTACGTAGACCCGACGATGATGAGAACGTTTTACTACTGGCGATCGGTTTTGTTGCTGATTTTTAATTAAAGCTACCTACAAACACAATTACACACCGGGACACACTCTTTGTGTGCTCAACACCAGAAGAACTTCAACACGTTTTGTATGCGCTTGCAACTTTTGGAGCATTATTATTATTTTTTTTTTCTTTTTGAATATATATTTCTTCATTAATTTGTATGTATATTTCTATATAAGCATTTTTAAATTTCATATTTACACCTCTTTTTTATCACCAAAATCTGAAAAAAAAAATTTATTACCCAATTGACTTTAATAAGAAGTATTTGAGTTGCTTGCCAGAGCTCCACTGTGCGGCAGTAGCAGTATCGGTACTAACTTCTCACAGCCTAATGAATAATTTGTGCCCATCATTCATTACCGCAATTCGGCCAACCCATCTGCTGTAGTTGTGCCACCTTATCGGTTAAACGTTCCACTCTTTTCTTGGCCAAGCAATCTTCGCTGTTCGCTTATGTTAAATTTCACCTCATTTCACGACTAATAATAGCCTTCACGCAAATAATTTGCTGCGAGTTTATGTTCAAACGGAACTGATTATTTTATGGAAGAACATTCTAATGGAACGGGTTTGTACGGGCAAATATGATTGCGAATGCAATATTGCGCTTAGTTCGCTTCGAAGTTGAATGTGTATCGTTATTGGAAAATTATTACAGCTATCAACTAGGTTTGCTCATTCTTAGTGGTAACCTATTTTTTTGTATTTTCTTTAGCAGCACAGGATGTTGCGGAAGTCTTTACAGTTCGTACTTACTATTAAACTCGTTACAAATAAATATTAAAATTAAAAAGCTATTAAATAATTTCATGGGAAAAATAACTGCTGAATAGTGGAAAGACTTCTTGTGGTTGCATTGACATACTAGTCGAAAATATAACAAGGGAGGAGATCTTAAAATTAATAGACAATTTTTTAAAATATTTTTGGAGCACTTTGGTGAGATTTTTGGAAATAAAAATATTGTGATTGTCACAAACTTACCTTGATTAGTGACGCATGGTGAATATCTGAAAAAAAAAATAAATAAAATAAAGAAAAATTAGTTCGGGCTACTGACTGTGCTTGAAGGAATAAAACAAAAATAACGAAGAACTATTTTTTACACTTACGAATATATTTTCTGAGTTTATTTATCTATATTATATTAATATGCTCGCATGAATTTTGTCCGCCTTTGTTTGGCGACTTCAAGACCGTTCGAAGGGTACTTTTCTGTAGATGAGGAGAGTTTTTATAATTTCAAAATTGGTTGAAAATTAGGGCCAAAGTTTCCTTATTTGTGTATAGTTGTTGTTGCAACCTCTCCAATTTGAGTGGTCTTCGCATTTTGTTTTACTTCCTATATGAAAAGCAACTATGTAATTGAAATAAATGTGATGATGAAGAATTAAATTATAGAAAGAACGGATCAGAAAAAAAGTGAAAGCAAATTTGAAGATTAAGACGAAAATGAAAACAAAGGCAACTGAAAGGGTAACAAAGTTTATTGAAATTTTTCGACAGGTATTGAAATAAATTTAGTCATAGAAAATTTGGTTATCGAAAGCTATTAAATTACCAGAACTTATCGAATCATCAAAGTGTGTAGCTATCGAATTTTATGGAGTTATCCATGTTTATTGAGTTATCGCAACGCATAGAGTTATTCAAATTGATCAATGTTTATTAAGTTGTCGATACTTATAGACACAGAAACTTAAAGCGCAGTTACCCACGGACATAAAAACGGAGAACGTGTCTTATGGAATTTGCGTGTGACGTAGAAGTTGCTTCCCTTCCTTTTTATAAACAGCAAACTTAATACCAGATATATACATTTTTGAATTATCGAAATTTATCGAGTCCTCGAAATGCACAGTTATCGAGATTTATCGCAATTAGTCGAATTTGCGAATCTTGTTGAGTAATCGGATTTTAGTGCTTTTAAAATTCATCGCTTTATCGATATGCATCAAATTATCGAAATTTATGGGCAAACTGTATCGGGTGAGTTCCAAGGGTGTATCAATTTTGAATAAATTAACGTCCTTAAATTTCGAAATATTGACGTTTCGAGCATTTCTAAAGTTTACCGTTATATGAAAAGCCGTAATTTTAGACCGATTTCAATAATTTTGAACCGTTTGCTTTTATGTGGCAAGCACAATAACCATACCGAGTTTGGTACAAATTGGTAGAACGGTTACCGAGATACATATATGTGATCATAAGTGGGCGGTGCCACGCCCATTTTCCAAAATTTTATGATAAGCGTATTTCCTGATAAAGAATTGCTGCAAGCATCAATTTTGAATAAATTAGCTTCAATATTTACGGATTTATCGAATTTTTCGTATTTCTCCAAATTACCGGTATATGGGATGTGGGCGTGGTTATTGTCCCATTTTTAAAATTTTCGGCCATTTGGTATCCTGTACCAAGGCCAATAACTGTGCCAAGTTTGGAAGAAATCGGTGCAGCGGTTGCCAAGATATACACATGTAACACTAAGTGGGCGTGGCTACGCCCATTTTCCAAAAATTAATAATATTCTTATTTTTCGTCTAAAAGTTATTGCAAATATCAATTTTGAGTGAATAATCTTCAGTAGTTACTAAAATATCGCAGTTTTCGTATTTCTGAAAATTACCGTTATATGGGAGGTAGGCGTGGTTATTGTCCGATTTTGCCCATTTTCAATACCATCCGTCCTACGCCCTACGCTACGAAAGAAGTACACGTGCCAAGTTTCGTTAAGATATCTTAATTTTTACTCGAGTTATCGTGTGCACAGACGGACGGACAGACGGACGGACGGACGGACAGACAGCCACCGCTTAATCGATTTCTCTTTTCATCCTGATCATTTATGTATACATTTGTCTATATCTATCTCGATTCGTTTTGCCTGTTACAAACAACCGTTATGTGAACAAAGTTATAATACCCTTGTGCACAAGTGCGCTCGGGTATAAAAACGGTAGAATTTCAACAGCAAAGGCGGACCTTCATAGTATGCATACAAATTTCTTATAATCTCATGAGTTGCTATGAAGGTGCTGCTATAAAAATTTGTATATTAAATTTTCTGCCAAACGCACGCATACGTATGTACATATACGCATGCTATGAAGATTCGCCTTAACTGACACTCCTGGTGTAGAGCATATTTTGTGTTCTTTTTTTCATGCCCCATTTCAGAAGTTTAAGTTTGTTTTATGTATGCAAATTTAATTAAAAAAAAAAATTCCACAAGTTACTCTAGTACCCTACTGTTGCTTACTCATAGTTCCGTCTTTATTGAATGTTATATCAGAGGACTTGTCCAGTCTGATTTTGGTGCTGAATATAATTTGGCCTTTGGGGAAATCGTTCAGCTTTGCTCAAGTTAATTAGATAGTGCTCTTTCTGTTCACGTTTTTAATGGTACGGCCTCGTCTAGATTCCGCAAAATTTTTTTACTAATAAAAAATATTTTATTTTAGCAATATTATCCCTACAATATCAAGTAAAATAAATAATGCTCATTTCTGCCGTCCCTTAGGCCAATCAAGTGTGCACTTAACCTACCTGTTTGACCTCTAACTCTAAGTAAAAAGTTATCAGTATTTATTTATGCCAAAATATGCAGCCGAGTCGCGATGAAGAATTGCGTTGCATGCAGTGGCGAACAGTAAACACCCACAAAAACCCACTCAGCCAGCTATGCCAGTTATGCGCCGCTCGTATTGCACCTCATAAATTTGTACGCAATCAATAAAAAAAAATAGGCTGAACGGGGAGCAAACGCAGTGCCAAACGGTGACGGTGCAGTGCAATGGCCGCAGGACTAGAATTTAAATAAATTAATAAACGCTTTGATATGCTACAGTCACAGTCCCAGTCACAGTTATAACTAGTTAAGTATAAACAAAACTCTGTATAGGAGTTGGCGTCGGCGTGAAATGCACAGTTAAAGCCAAAGTCAAAATACAATAACTGCCAGGCATATAAAGCGATAAAATCACTCGAGACAACGAATGAGAAATGTGAATCGTAGTTTAAATGCAAGCGATCGTGCGGCTAATGTGGAGTCGCAGCGCATGCGCCGTGAGGTAGGTGGTGGTGGTGGGGACGGTAACAAGCGGCTTGCGAAGAGAGTGTTAGCCATTCTTTCTACGGAGAATCGCGGGGCATTATCATGCCAACAGAAAGGTGTAGAATAATTGCAGACATACTAGTTAGACAAAGTCGCATCCAAAGCCAAACAGACTGCTTGGTTGATAAAGACACTAGCAGTGCAAAACAAAACAAAAGCAACGCAAAGAAATGTTCAACGCTGCATTTAAAAAAATACAAACAAAACATCAATCTTTTATTGGGGAATGTAATAAAAATATTTCGCCAACTACTCAAACACTGCGAGCGGAATGCTAATTTGTATGCCCGCAAAACGTGTTACCAAAATTGTAAAGCCGCCCCCACTGCACAACCAGCCAGACAGGCAGCCAGTGAACCAGCCAGCGAAGGTGGAATACATAGTTGTAGAAGTAATGTTGCCATTGCTGTTGTGTTTGGTGTTGCTGTTGCAAAATGTTAAGTTGAAAATGCACAAGAGCCAAAGAGGCTACAGCAAGAAAAAAAAGCATGCGCACACACAGCCGCAATATCGACAAAAAGTATCATAAAATAACAGTTATTTCGTCAGAATAGCCAAAGAGTGTTGCCAACGTCTATGCATACTTTCGACAAAAGAAGATGAAAAAAAAGAGTGGAGTAGAAGAATCGATGATGTTGTTGATGGTAATGTTGCCAGTCGAGGTGGCTGCACAAAAAGTGCCATGAATGTTGTAGAGTATTGCGAAAGCCAGTAGGCGGCATATGGGCAGCCGCAGCGGAAAAACATTTATGGTTTGTGCAGTAAAATAATAATAAATTTATTGACATACATTGTGGAAATAAAATACGAAATTGGTGAGGGCAACATTAAAGCGTTGTATTTTCAACCAACTTCACAAAAAGGAGAAGGTTATCAATTCGTCGAAATATTTGTTTTTTTCTTGTTTTTACGTATGTTACAGCATAACTTTAGACCACGTCAATATATATATATATATTTTTTTTTTAATTGTATGATGAAGAAATTAACGATAAACTTAAATTTTCATATGAGAATTGAAGTCGGTTTTGTTTTTTTGCTTAAAAATTACTCGTTTATTTTTATTCTTTGTTACAACGAGTTCTTTGGAGCTTTAAGCTATGATTTTTTCACAGTTTAGTTCTACAGTGTAGCATTCCATAGATGATAAAAATTGATTGAAAAGACCTTCCAGCAAAAAATATTAGTTAGATAGTTATTAACTGAAAATGCCGAAAAAAGCAAAAAATGTCAAGGATATTTTTCAATAGAATATACATACATATGTACGTGTGTCATAAAGAATTTACAAATTACACAAAAATATATATTTGCAAAATAACCACTTTGTTAGAATTTTATTAATACATTGACAAAAAAAAATTACAAGAAAGTATGTATACATCTTAAAATAAACCAAATGCCTTTAGAGCTTGAGCCCTTACTTTTCCCTTGGTTTTATTTATTTTATCCAAATGAATTTTAGTCATATAAGTCAATCAGTAAAGACAGCTGTTCAGTAGTTGTAGTTTCCCGCCTACTTAACCGTTTTATGGCAATAGCTTAAAAGATCGAAATACGTGTAACTCCTACACTAGAAACACCAATTCAGTTTTCAGATGCAGGCATTAGAGTCCCAACGAATCTCAAAAATAGCAGCGGAGCTTAAACCACAAGGGGTTTCAATCTGGTCAAATTAAAATAACAATTGGACACTGGGAAAATACCGAGATAAGAGCAGCGATGGAAGCAAAAGCTCACTTTTCTCAAGAGAGAAATCCATGTGGTCTGACTTGCAGCCATAGGAAGCACATCCCCAGAGTACAAATGAAGCAGTGAATAGTTGAGGGAGCTCTTCTACCTAACTTTTTGGCTACTCTGTCTGCCTCGGTTGAAGTGCGAGAACTCTCA